GGGGAATTAAAAAGTATTAAAATTGCCCTTGGAGTAGTGACCCAAGAAATAATATTAATATTAATGTATTATTAAATAAGACTTTCTTGATTTTAAAGAGAAGCAATAAGTTGCTTCTACCAAATAGTTATTTCCTAAGTAAAAGTCATCTCCTTAAGCGCTACCTCTTACATTTATTCATATCAGAGTTTAAAACTAAAGAAGATAATGACAAGTTATTAGGCAATACAGATTTTATTTTCAAGTACTTCTAACTTTTAAAAAAAATACTTCTATACATTTTATTCAACTTTATTAAGTTTTCTAGACATTTTAATATTTTCCATCAAACTAAGTTACAAAAAACATCAGAATTGAAACCTATCTAATCATTTCGATTTCACAAAATCTTGCAAATAAGCAAAGAAGAGAAGGTTAAAATCAAGGAGCTATATCAATAGCATCACCGGGGATTATGGTGGAAGGATAGGATCTCTCTACCCTTAATTTAAGGTCTTGTGTTTAAGCCTTGAGAATAGAAAGAAGTTTTTAGCCGGGAGTCTTCTTTCATTAATGAGCGTTTGGATTAATCAGAAACTAATATGGGTACCTGACACATAAAAAAATAAAAAATAAAAAAATTCTTGTTCCAATATATAGCATGTGGTTGTAGCTTCGCGTCGAATAAAATAAAATATAATTTTAATGTCACAAAAAAAGGAGTAAAATCTAAAACAAAAAAAAGGCCTTGTACTCCAAGACAAAAACCCACAACAGAAGGAAAATAAAACAAAATTAACATAAAGAAGATCCATTCTATAAATAGGCAATGAAGTATCATATATAACAATCCATTAACGAAAGAGGAAGAAATTAATATATTGAGATGGAAAAAAGCAAAGTGTTGATTGTAGGAGGAACAGGGTACCTAGGGAAGAGATTAGTGAAAGCTAGTTTAGCAAATGGTAATAAAACCTACATTTTGCGTCGTCCAGAAATAGGAGTTGATATTGAGAAAGTTGAAATGCTTATTTCTTTTAAGATGCAAGGAGCTCATCTTGTAACTGCTTCTTTTAACGATCATCGGAGCCTCGTCGATGCCGTTAAACTCGTCGATGTTGTCATCTGTGCCATCTCCGGCGTCCATATTCGTAGCCATCATATCTTACTTCAGCTCAAGCTTGTGGATGCCATTAAAGAAGCTGGAAATATCAAGGTATAATATAATTAATGAAGAGTTTTCTCATGCATAACTCGTTAATTATGGAGTATTAACTATGCTTAAATGCAGATCCGGAATTTAAATATGACCGATTCGACTTTAAAAATATTACGATTGATCGATTATTGCGCTTTTAATATATATA